TTACACAAACATATTTACTAAAACGAATGTTGAAAGCAGTTTAGGCAAAAGCCACAACTTGAAACCAACCAGATTTAAGTCAAAAGCATAGCCTTAATCTATGGCTTCAAGTTAAAAGTGTAGCTCTCATCCATGGCTTAAAGCTAAGCTTAAATTAAATTCAATCCAAAGCTATGATTCAAAGTTATGATAATTTAAAATTACAATCAAGTGATAACTTGTTTTAAATAAAGCCACTTTATTCAAATAATACTTCTAAGGGCACAGCCTCATTAAATGATCCGCAGTTAGCACAGCCAGAATCTTGGTTCTGGTTATAGATTCTTAAATCTTTATATAAAGGAATAATTTTATTAATCGTAATTTTTGCAGTACAATCTTGTAAAATGCTCAAAGAACTACCCTTACAGATTCCCAAAAACGCGAACTTTGTATATATGCTCGTTGACAATAAATTGACTCGATCCTAGTATGTTGATTGGATAGAACAACAATGGGGTATTAGAGTTGATGAAAGTACAATTTCATGTATTTTTTAAAAAAAAGATGAACGAATTAGTTCTCAAATTATTAATTCAAATGCCAAGCATTATAGAGCGGTAATATACCCAGAACTTGACCAAGCCCTAAAAGAATTTGTGCTAATTTATCAAAATAAAATGATTTTAAGTGATGCAATACTTGTTGAAAAAGCCAAACTACTTGCCAATGGCTTGGGAATTCCTGAGGGTGCGTTGAACTTTTCTCATAGTTGGCTTGATAAGTTTAAAGATCGAAACAATATTTGTCAACGTAAACTTGAAGGGGAAGCAGAGTCAGCAGATGAAGTAGCTATTATTAATGCCTTACCTGCTCTAAGAAACAAGTGTTCCAACTATCCTATCAAAAGAATCTATAACATGGATGAGACAGGGCTTTTTTTAGATATAAGCTTTATTAATACATTTGCATGCTGCAAAAAAAAAAAAAAAGGTTACAGTGTCTAATAATGGAAAAATATGCATTTTCTAATAACATGCATATTCATGCGCATGTTGTATAAAATGCACATAATATAATTTTCAGAAATAAAATTTAGATAGAATAAAATAAATGCGCATTAATACACATGATTAAGAATCATATACATGGCATTAATTAATTATTTAAATAATCAATGATTCTATTTTCCTTTGAAAATGTATATTAATTACTAAAACTTACTTTATAGGTTAGAACCCGATCGATCATTAGCAACTCATTTTTTTCTGGACGCAAAGTAGATAGAGAACGTCTTTTAATTGCATTATGCACAAATACTGACGGCTCTTATAAAATGGTCTCTTTTGTAATTGGCAAATATGCCAAACCACGCTGTTTTAAAAATATTAACTTTAAAAATTTAGCTGTTATGTATAAAAACAGTGCCAAGGCATGAATGATTACTTCTCTCTTTCAAACATGGCTTCAAGAGTTCGATCGTCAAGTCGGTTTAAAATATCAGGGTCAACATGT